GAGGGATCCTTGCCCTGATATCTGAGACTTACTAACTTCACATTGGTATGATAGTCCTGTGCCACACAAATGCATTTATTCAAAAACTCTCAAACTCTTTTAGCTCTGCTGCTGGTGTATTTGCTGCATTTAACAAGATTAATCTTCATGGTTTCACTTTGCTTAGGTCAATACCCTGCTTCTACTTGACCTGTCTGAAAGTTTCCAGGCTCTGAATCAACAAGAAACAGTAGCTACTGGTTTTTAATTCACTACTCGGCAAGCACCAAAGACAGATGCAATTCTTACAGATGAGTTTGCGGAGCATGAAAACAAGCAAGTTCTGATGACAGTTATGAATGAAGCTGGTTTTCAGATGGTCCTCTTGCAAATGTATGCAGGCACTAGCCATAATGCTGTAACTACTGCATCTAATAAGTGAATCAGCTACGTTTGGGATGCTAATTGTGCTTCCTGAGCTGTATTGGCTTTTTCAATAAAATCCACATGCTGGGAAGCAGATGAAAGCTATTGAACTGTACTGGTTCAGTGATAGATGGATCATTCAGGTCAATAAAGAACCTGTTTGGTCAATATAGCCTTCTGGCTTGAAGCATGTTTGTACGCTCTGAAAGACTCTTGGCATTAGCTGGCCATCACTTCGTGGTTGAGGGCTCTCTTGGTGGTCCTCTTGGCTGAAACTAAGCTGATAAAACCAGCCAGATGTCCTATTAACACTTGATCTTTTGCTTTTTTTAAAATAAGCCAATAAACAAGGTTATGTAACCAAGTTTTAACATAAGAGCTTTAATAAAGCATACTTTTAGAAATATATAAATATATATAAAAAATATTCCAGGCAGTGGTAAGCCCTAGCTCATTTCCCCTGTGGCAAGAAGACTGGAGTTGACCAGCCCGCTTTTCACTTTGAAATACTAAGAGCTGACAGGTACAGCGGCTGGGAAAGTGGTGTCAGCCGAGCTGCTGCCTTGGAGCAGCTCCCAAACCTTGGTGCCTGCACCGCTGTGGCTTGGCTTGGTGGGAGGAACGGATCTGAAGACTCTCCCAGGGGTTGTGTGTGCTGGTGTGCTGCTTGCTACTCGCCTGCAGGGAAGAGTGTAATTCAGGGTGACAAGCTGCTGTTCTTTCCTCTACACTATCTGGCTTCTAATTTTTTGACTGGAAATGTCAATAAGAGCAAGAAAACCACTGTTTTTTCAGTCACTAATGTGCTGGATCTTCATGTTGTTTTTCAGCATGAGAAAGGAAGGAAAAATAAAGAATTTTGTCTGTTGCATTTATTTGCTGTGTTGGGGGGTTCTACACACCCTCTGCAACGAGCCTGGCAACTGTCTGGCCTTTCCCTTTTAGTGGAGGAGCTTGGAGAGAAATTAAGGAATCGCTCTTAATAGCCAGTCCTGTGCAAAAACACAGTAAAAGTTTCTCTCTGCCTTCTGAATATAAACATCATTTAATAGATCTGATCTTCCTTCTTAGCCAAAGGGAGGATTCCCTTACCTTGTTTAAGTTTAGCAACGAATCAGCGATGTACACCTGCTTGTTTCTAATAGGAAAACACTTCACTAGTAGAAAAATCTCTTATCAAAGTAGACTATGCTCATTTTGTCTTGGGTTAATTTGCTGATGCTTAGGGAGAGGGTGATAAACTCTTAGAACATCTCAGCTAGCTCAAGAGGTGAACTGGAAAACTTAGGAGAGCTTTTTAATGTGCCAGAGCTCGGCATATTTGATTTCTGGCAGGGCTGACTAGTGCAGTTTTTTATGTAGGTTTCAGATTGTTTGAATTACATGTGTAATGAAGCACTTTGTAAATTATATCCCTCTGGGGGAGACTTGAGCTTGGAAAACATCGGGTGGAAAGTTTGGGTGTATGTCTGAGGTGCTTATTTGGGCTTACTTTTTCCTTAGGGAGAAGTTATAAAACTAATTAATAGGTCGGAAGAGCATCTAGGTGTCTGGCATAGTGAGGTGGAGAAAGTAGACATCTTCCTTCTAAGCATCATGGGCTCTTCTCGTCCTTTTGTGTTTTTAAATAGGCTCCGTGGCCTTGGGACTCTTCTGAGGGTTGATGGTGAGGTTAGCTCTAATCGGTGGAGTGAGACCTTGCCCCTTGTGTCCTGGCTATTGGTGAGGAACTGGCCCTCTTTCCTGACCTGTGCTCAGTCCTGTAGAGCTTTACCCAGTTTCACTTCAAAGTGATGCTAATCTGGCTGTTTAATGGCCTCTTCTGCCCTGCCTTTCTCCTCTCAAGCAGTCCAGTGTGTGCTGTGGCTCCCCTTCCTAAAAGTGGTTGGCACAAATCCTTGCAAAGCAGGGCAACCTCATCTCATTGCAGGCCTTAGCATTGCTTGTATTGATCCGTGGATATCTATCTTTGATCACTAATGGGCATCAAGTGCAAAAGGTAATACATTTCAGTGCACTTGAATTCATCTCTCACTTGGTTTCTTTGGACCAGCTCCAGGATCTTGTTAAGAACAGAAGACACTGGTCATCTTAAAGGATGGGAGGGGAATCTGACCATTCAGGCACAACAGCTTGTATCTCTTCCCCATGAGTTGAGCAGTAAATCCCACAGAGGAGGAAGAGAGTTGAAAGAGTCACTCAATGGATTTAGTTGTTTAAGATGCCTTGAGCACTGGAGAATAACTGCAGAGCGTAACATCCAGAATTCTTTCTGCTTTATTAGCAGATGCTGGAGAACATGTAGGAGACCCAGGTTCTTCCAGCACCTAATGATGCTTTTGCTGCTTTTCAGCAACTGAGCCCCAAATCCACCTTAACGCAGCTCTTTCCTCAGTGCCTAAGACAAATCTACATTTCAGACCCAGCTGCTTCAGTGCTCAGTGATCTTGTGTCAATCCTTGCCACGGTTGGAGGTTCTGCTTTGCCAATTGGTTCTGGTGCATTCTGATTTGCAGAAGACACCTGTTCTTTAATTATCACTGTCCTTCATCTGTCTCTTTTTGTTTCAGCTCTTTCTGATGCATGAGATATTAATATGATTTGAAGTGAGTCTGTGTTGAACAGTGTGTGTGTGTTGGGAGAGGTGGTTGAAAGAGATTAGTCACAAATTCAAGAATAATTTCCAGTAAGAAGGTTAGTGACTGGTTTGCTCTGGGTCCTTGACCTATGTCACTCTTTAGTCTAAATATTTTTTTAGTCCTCTGGGGTTTGTGCACTTAGGCTAGGATGGAGTGGCAGTCTGGAGATGGGCAGGAGAGTGGAGTTAAGCTACTGATTAGAAGAAATTAATAAGGGGGAGAAGAGTAAAAAACCTTCTAACTGTCTGGCTTGCTTTTGTGTTAAAACTGGAAGTGTCTTAACTGGTTTAGCTCTTAGTCTTGCCAGTTATGCCAGTGGTGTTTTATTCTGCATGATTTCAGTGTTTCCTCTAAGGATCATCAGTTGCTTCACAAATCTGGATTCTATGCATGCTTTCCGTCCCTTTTTTTTTTTTTTTTTTTTTTCCAGCAGAAAAAAAACAAGACTTGGTGTAAACGATGGCCTCAGATCAGAATATGTCTTCACTGAGCGATGTGTGAAACCAAGGGTTCTCTCCTCTGGTCCTCTTCTGGGTTTACTTGGGTTGTCTGAGAATACTTGTGATGCAAGGCATTTCCAATTTGCCTTGCAGATATTCTGAACTGTCTTAAAAAAGGTTTCTTGGGGTTGTACTAGTCTTAAAATAGCTTGGATTCTGTCTTTCACTGACTCTGTTGGAGTTGACAGAGACCTTGAGGCTCCACAGCCTGCCCTTTTGAGTCCTAATTCTTCCCTTCTGGTGACACCTTTCTTCAGAACTGCTTTAAGAAGTCATGGAAAAGAGCAATATGTAAATATTAAAGTTGAGTATTTGTCCTGAGCATCCTAAAGGGATTTTAAACAAATCTGTACTGTGTGTGCTGTGGCTTTCTAGATACCGCTTGCTTACGGCTTTTGGACCTGTTGGTATATCTCTAGCCAATGCCATCCCATGGATGACAGGCAGGGCTCTCTTCTGTAACACCCGTTTTGTCTCCCTGTCACAAGTAGCTTTTCTCAGTTCACATTCAGAACTCAGGCAAGGTCTGTCTCTCTGCAGTAAAGCCTCTTCTCTTCTCTCTGGAGTAGGAAAGGCTCGAGTGCTGCTCCGTGCCCCTGCAGAGGCAATGGTGCTGCACAGGACACCGCTCCTCTGGGCACAGCCTTGTGTGCCCTAGGAGACAGCTGGAGGAAACTTGCCTGGGAAGCTGTGTTGTCCTGATTTCCAGCTCTGCTGGATATGTTTGCAACCCAGCTGAAAGAGGTGCAACAGACTGGTACAGCATCATACCCCAGTTTAATTCATCAAGCAACACTGGTCTCTTAATATACGTCTAAGAGGGCAGTAAAGAAAGATCCATCTTCATCGATAGTACCTTTAATTTCCACACTGAATGAAGTTCATCCTTATGAGTATCTCTGATTATTATTTTTTCCTCACTTTGCACAGGTTTTCAGCTTCCGAGTCACTAGCTTAACTGTTATGCTATAGTTTCCTGCTATAAAACAAGCAACTTAAAGCGTGGGAAAAAATGTTCTGGGCAGACCTGGCTCCATTGCTGTTGAGCCTGGGACACCCCGAAGCTGTCCTATCAATGTTAATGTGAGCACACTGAGCATGTACTTGGACAAAGAGGCCAGAGTTTAATATTTAATGTTCCATAAGGCTGCATTGAGAGCTTTTACTGAAATGTATCAGTAGAGGAGTGCTGTAGCAGTGATAGCAAGCGGCTGAGATCCAAGAGAATCCTGTGCGCTACTTCTGCCTGAGGCATGTTCTCTGATACCAAGCATCTTGCTTGACCCTCAATGTCTCAGCCAACTTAGCTATAAAATTCAGCAACAAAGCAAGATGCACGACAGACAGACATGTCTGGAGGTGAACTTTCCAGGCAAGCTTTACTTTACTGATAATTTAATCTTACTAGCAGAATTTCTGGTTTTTAACCTAATGTGTGTTTTTATTGTTCTTCCAGGCAGCATTCACTCTCCTCCTGGGTCCTTTCACCTTCTTCAATGTGCAGAAGACCAAATATCTTCAAATCATGACGTCTCTCATGAGATGGATAGGTAAGTCTTGGCCACCTCTTTTACCATAGATAGAACCCAAGTCATGCTACCAACGCATCTCTTTGGAAAGATGCTCTTGTTCAGAAGCAAGTGCTTGTCAAAGCAACCTCTTTGAGGAGGCGATTGTCCAGGCCTGATAAATCTTTGAGGAAAAGGATTTTTTTTTCTAGGATGAAATTTCTGATTAAAACAAAACAAATTGTTCTCAATCAGATGCGAGCTGATAGATGAAGCTTTAATCTGGTTTGTGTGAGGGGCAGAAGGGATTTAGAAGTCTCCTATGTGGGGGCTAACCATGATACCCACCAGTTGGTGTTCAGCAATAAATTTCTTATTCTTTCAGCATATGTACAACAGACTTTAAACAATCTTTGTTTTGATCTGAGAACAAAAGGCACTTCTGTCAGACTTTCCACCCTTAGTTGTATCATCTGTTTGCATTCTTTTTCCTTTAGTGTAGGATCTGCTACATCGGAAACCCCCAAACCAATGTATGTTGTTCTTGGGAAGCCCCACTCTCGTAAGTTCTCTCGAAAATCTTACTGCCAAGAACTGGGAAGACAGAGAATTCCATTAAGGGAAACAAGCCATCTCTATTTTTGTGGCCTTTTTCAGTGCCTCTGTCATCCAAAGATGCAGCTGCCTTGCATCTGGCTGTGTGTACGTGCCCTTAAAGGCTGAGAGGGGTGTTTGTGTTATGGAGGCTTATGCTGAGGTTTGTCTTGTTTTGTGTAACCTAGACACAGTAACTGATATGCAGGGCTAAAAGAGAGAATGTTACAGCACCGGCAGCATTTCTGCAGGTTAACCCTGGTTCATGGGTCCAGACCGTTCAAGCACTGAATTAGCTCTGTTTATACCTATCACTGACCTGGAGTAGGAAGAAAAGCTGCTTCTCAGACTGTATCCCACCACACACATACGCTTGACCTGACTTCAGCTGGGTATTGCCTCTTTTCTGTGAGTTCAAAGTGTGATCCTGTTTGGAAGTAGCTGGCAGTCACTGCAGAGGAGCAAAGATCCTCTGTTCTGGAGGACATCTGAGATGGGGTTAAGCAGTTGTCACCCAGGAAAATGAGGTTGGATTTTAAGCCCTCAAGTCTCAGATGTTGAACAGCTCAAGTTGACAAATTCTGACCTCAGATGGTGTGAAAATTCTGAATGTCTGTTTTTCCCTTTTGTTGTCTGAGCACATGAAAGGTTTGAAAGCCCCCATCTTCTTCAGAAAAAGAGGTTATCTCGTTAAGGGGTATTAAACGAAGTGGGGTTTGGGGGGTTTGTTTTGTTTTGGGTGGTGGGTTTTTTGTTTTGTTTTTTGAAAAAATAGTAATCTCTGCTCAGGTCACTGGCCTGTTTCCAATCAGCCTGCCTCCTCTTTCCTGGTAAAGACATCAGTCAGACTTCATCCTATCTCTGTGACAACATGACACCTGCCTGATTTGCTACTGGTTTACCTTTAGCCAGCTCCTTCCAGTATGAGGATTGCTAAACCTTGGTGTAAAGGTAGAACTGATTCACTTTTTCATCGCTTGATGGAAAGGGACAAAGACAGTGTTTGGAGAAGTGTAGGGGAAATTCATGCTTTAGCCTGATTGATTCCTGCATCAGCACGCTGGGGAACAGCTGCCCCAGATAATGATATTTAATGACCCTGACAGCACCTCAGTGGCTACTTAGAGCAACGGATTCCGTATGTGTACAATGAGGGATAGATTTATTAGGAAAGACAATTTATCAAACAGCCATGTGATGCAGGGAACAGAGAAAAGCTCTTGCTGCAGACTCCAGGGTAAGGATGGACCCCATACTGCTGAGATTCTTCCATGGCTTCTCCCATGTCCTCACATCAGTGCTGTCCCCTCTTCCAAAAGCAGGTCTGCGAGTTAAACATGGGTTAATCTTTTGTTGGTGCTTAGAGAGCTTAGATCCTAAAGAATGGTCTTGGCTGGTGTTTTGTGGTCTCCTAAACTCTTCCTGCCTGAATGCCAATGGTCAGATGTGGATTCTCTGTCCTGCTATAATCTGTGCCTTTTTTTCATCTCCCTTTAGTTGATTTTAGCCATGTGGTGCTGAAGGTGGTTCTTCTGCAAAGAGCTCTGAGCAGCAGAGCTGAACACTGGAGCTGCCAGCCTCCCTGTTTGTTGTGCTGGGTAAAAAATTCCCACATGGACAGAGGCTTATTCAGCTTACCTGTGCCCACTGGCCTGGTGTGCATGGGAAGCTGACCCATGCTTTGCATCATAATTTGAAAAAATCAAGCCTACTTGAGCTGGGAGGTCAGTACAGGCTTTGCAACACACCTACTGCGGGTGCCACCATACACCCATTTCCACCCTTTTCCCCAGCCTGGTGAAAAGCCCCTGGATTTCAGAGCAGCAGTGGCTGAGGTAAACCTGCACTGCCCCAGGTGTACTGGTGATTCAGATGACAGTGGCTGAGAGGGTGGTTCTTGGCAGCAGTGAGAGCTAGCTGTGTGTGAAGGTCACTTCTGCTGGTGTTTGTAACAGTGTCAGCCTTGCCTTTGAAAGTTGCTTTCCCTCTTTCTCCTGATCTAAGTGATAATCAAATGTCACTAGCCTTTTTCAAGAGCCTCGTGCTCATTGCAAACAGCACATCAGCTAACAAAGCCTAGGGTGATCTCTCTTCACACCTCATGGACAAAAAAAAAAATTCATCCTGTCTCTGAAAAATACAGTCTTAGAAACACTGAGATCTGAACTGGAAATTAAAAATGGATCAGTTCGAAGAATGTGGAGATGTGGCAGGGATCAGCCTTTCATCTAGCTGTGTTTTAACTCGCAGGGCAAGGGACTAGCCAGGACAGGCACCCCTGAAGTCTCTCTAAAAGGAGAAAGTTGAAGGAGGAGCTTCCAAGCCTAAGTGCTGTGCTGCTAGAGAGCCGAGACAGATGGGCTCTTGCTGTCAGGGCCTGCTGAACACAGAGAGCTCATCTGGAAACACGGCTGGCATGGCGAGGCAGTTCCCTGTCAGGACTGATAGGAGCACAGAGGGTGGATCTGTGTCTCCAGGTGGAGTGGGGCTGATGGCAGAGAGGGCTTCCAGAGGCATCGAGCTGTTGGCAGTCTTCTGAAGAGTAACAGCTTACACACTTGGCTGCAAAACTGATTGTCACCTAGCATGGGTGAGTGCCAGTGGTTAAATTCAGTACAGCAGTTGGTGCTTGAACTGCTGGCCTTATCTGTGCTTAGAGATCTCTGTTCTCTCAGAGCTGGCAGGTGTGTAAGGGTTTGCCTACACAAGCTCTTGTCCCTTTCCCAACTGTAAAATCTCCTCAGGCTGCTTTGCCAGCCTTCTGCTTGTGCCTGAAGTGCCTTGGGAGACTGAGCACAAGCACCCTAAGGGGCCTGACAGGGAGCCTGTCTGCTCTGCTTTCCTGGAGATAGGGCTAGTTGGGAAAAATCACTTGTTTTAAATCCTGGTAATAGTGCTTACCGTGAATTGAGTTAGGGATAAAACCTTGCTGGCTCACCCAGCTCTTGAGCAATGCTATTCAGATCAGAGACAGGGCCCAGACTGGTTGACTGGGTAAGTACAAATCATCCCCTTAGGGTGAGGAGGGTTCCTTCCCCAAACTAGTTCCTTCCTTTCTTCCTTTCAGCTCCCTTCCACCTCATCCTTGCAAAAGTCAAGTTCTGTTATTAGCCCGTCATTTACCAGTTTTGGAACCTGTTTCCAGGTCTCTTACACAGTTCTTGGAACAGGGTGTCTCCTGTAGAAGGCTAAACCAACTAAGCCATCAGTAAATTAGAGCTGTTGGTATTTTCAGTTCTGCTGTTTGGACTTCAGGCTATTTTTTTCCTGGAGGCTTTAAATCTGTGGTGGCAATAGATTGCTCCCTAAAGAGACTTGAATATCTAGCTGGTTTATTTTCCCCTCCTTTCTCCAGTCCTGATCAAGTGCATGGTGTTAGGGGCGAGTTTCTGGAGGGCACTGCACCACAAAAGGGACTGAGCCAGGCAAGTCTGATGCACTTCTCAAAGCAGAGGGGACACAGCTCGCTGGGGCACAGCCCTGCCTCTTTATTATTGGATAATATGGGATAATAACTGTGTAGCAGCATCATGGGAAAGGATATGGATTAGGAAAGATAACAAAAGGCCAGGGCTTGGTGGGGCTCAGCAGCAAACATTGGGCTATTGTGTATTAAGCAGCTAACCCGATTAATTGCAGCCTGTTACAGCCTGAGATGCCCAGCTCTATAGGTGAGGGCTGTTGGCTTTAAAAACATTGGTAGCATGATTATCGCTGCTGTTATTGAATAGTCTCTGGAAAATGTCCCCAGACAGCTCCCATGTGGGACGTTTGCTCTGTGTGCTGTTCTTGATGCTGTATTGTAGTTATTAGAAAATATTGTATTTTAATAAAGAGACATTTTATAGAGGAATAAACTTCTGGGTTTCGTTGCTGCAGGCTCAGTTCTCTCTCCCTGTAGCACAGTCATATCATACCACATCTATTCAAGTAACTGCAGCCCTCAAGACAAAGCATTCCCAGCCCTGCCCAAACTATGATCTCACAATTATATGCCCAGAAATAAAATCTCTCCTCTGCCTCTTTCCCCTGGCCAGTAAGATGGAGAGGAAAAAGGAGAAGAATAGCCAGGAGGTTTGTGTTAAGCTCTTTTTACCTCTGTCCTGTCCCCTTCCAGGATACTTGGTAGAAGGCTTCTCAGGAAGAAACTAGGAAAGGGCTCTCCAGAGCATGCTGGTGAGGCAGACTTTTCCATATCTACTAATTTCTCTGACTCTCTCCACCAGAACCCTGCTCTTTACAGGACTCCTCAGCACGTCTCTGCAGAGAACTTGTCTCAGACCGTCTCACTCTGAGCAGGTTTCAGCTGGTGCAGTGACTGTCGCTGCCATCCTTAGCAGGCTTAACCAGCCATGCTAGAGTTGATTCAGTGCAGAAACCTGGAGTCACTCTATGTCCTTTCAGCTGCAGAGACTGAGAATTATTGAGGAGGCTGATATAGGAGCTGG